CCTATATCATTTATTTCATTTTATTTTCTGTTTTTACATGTTATTTTTACTTATTTTTACTTTTTGTGATCTATTTTATTTATTGTTATTTTTATAAAAAAAAGTTTTGAGTGCTCCTCGCACTATTGTATCAATATATTTTGCTTTGGCTTTACTGATACAATATCAGAAATCACTCTGTTTTGCGGATATAATCGTGTGGGCTGAAGAAAAGATTATAACTTTTTTTTCCGGTTTTTTAAATAAAATTTCATTCTTTTTTTTTTAATTTTTTATATATAAACTGTTGTTTGTTATAACTGTTGTTTGTTTGATTATGATATATGATGATAAGATCATGATATCTGATGAGAGTTTATAAAATATTTTATAAAAAACAAACACATTTAAATGACAAATTTTGCAGATCAACATGTATAAGTCATCATATAAATGACAGCTGTTTCACAATCTAATACTGCCCTTGAGAGCAAAAAAATGCTGGAATAAATATTTTTATTTTTGTTAATTTAGAAGTCATTTAACTCAGAAAACCCTCCTGTCAAAAAGTAATCCCATTTCACAGGAGTTATATGTATGATGGTAAAGTTTAAAAAATAGAATCATTTGAAAACTAAGGGATTTATCACATCTTTTTTTATTAAAATTTTTAGCTTTTTGAAAGCCCTGCATAATTGTACAAAATATTTCAATATAGATGCAACATCCAAAATAAAAAAACCTTTTTTAAAACCTTTTTTCGTTACTTGCACATTTTTTTCACTCGAGTTTAATTTATCCTTCAAAAAATGCTAATGAATGCTCCTATTTACAAAGTATAAGGAATAATAAAACTGATTTTATTGAAAATCTTATATTTTTGATGTTCTTTTAAGTATTAATATACTCTTAAGCCCATTTTAGTATAGCAAATATTTGTTAACTATCATTTTTATTTTTTTTAAGTGAGAGAATATATGAAATTGAGTATCGAAAATTATATCAACCCCCAGACGTAAGTAATTACTATCTTTATAATATATTTCATAGTCTTTTCTTATAACAGGAATCATGTTGATTCATTGTGAATATTTTTGTATCTAAAGCATTTCGCATACTCGTCAAAAAAAGCATTGGTTAGTACTACAAAATGAAAGAATGAAAAATTATCTTACTGACTAAAAATTCGATAAAATTTTTTGAGGCAATTAAAATTCAGATGACGCAAAACGAAGCATATTGTTGAAAAGAGTTTACAAATGCACTAACCATTTGAAACCTATTCAAACAAAACCAAGCTTAAACCAAAAAGACTCCCCGCGTGACTGATGCATGTTAAATCTGTCGAGTCGCAAAGTCCACCATGTTCCCATAACAAATCTATACCTATGGGGGTGCTGGTCCAGGAGTTTCCTTGTCTTTTGGATTTGTTCAAAATTACAAGGCCACGGAGTTGAAAATTAGTAGTCGTAGACCCAAATATTGGATCGGCTGTTCAGCGACAGATAGAAAATATAAAATAAAATATAAAACTTGTGTTATGGGCGTGATAGCCTGGTTCAGTGTTGCCAGAACTTAAGATTAAAAAGTAGCGAATGTGAGCTTCAAAAGTAGCGGATTCGAACATTTTGTAGCCCAAAAATAAATCATATATAT